AGAGCTTCTCACCTTTGCTTTAAAAAGACTATCAGATATCTGTTTTTATCTAATTCTTCCTACATCTAACAAGAGGTTAATTATAATGTAACGAAGAGGGCACCTATACAGAATCAGTGAGCTATAAACAAAACTTGAATTAAACACTCTCTTATATTCAATTATATTCGTTATTATTCTTATTTATTCACTGTGTTTTTAATATAAAGATACTCAGGCACTGACTGATATGTAGGGTAATAAGTATAATCAATGGGGTGGATAACATAAATCGGCCACCTTAAAGAGTTTCAGAACTGACCGTCGTTTCGAGCATTAGTGCTCTGTCAGAGCATTAGTCCTTTGCTTTGAGGAATGGGTAACACTCAAAATGTCAGCTTTTAAACTCAACTCAACAATTTATGTTATCAACTCAGATGGTACCATGTTATACTCTCCCACTGACCCAGCACCACAGTTTCTTTAGAAACTTACCCCCTTTATTTACTGACTGATATATATCCTTTTGTGCTGATACCAGAGTTCCACTTATTCATCACAGCTTTATTATAAGATGCAACACTTTAAATGAATTTAATTAATGTCATTTACTAGTATTTTGTGCAAATGTAGTCTTAATTGCTGCCCATGATAACAAAAACAGACCTGAAAAGGTATGAAATAGAAATGAATTTTTAATCAGCAGCACCTAAAGAACAACTCTGCAATTTGATTGGCTACCAGTATAGAACATACACTGTATGAACATATCTGTACCCATTTACCAGACTGAAGTTTTTTTTTTCAATCTGTTTAAAGAATATTCATTTGATTACAGAGTTGGACTGAGTAGCATGGACACAAGGGCATAGCTAACAATCTTAACTCTCGATATTTTTAAATAAAAAAAAAAACAAACATCAGAACTCTGATCATAGAGCCCTTGTTGCCAAGGAAATTCTATTTTGTTTCCAACAAAGTTGGGTCATGATAATGGGATGATCAATAAAATTTATTTGCAAAATAAGGAAATAACTTGATTATTATTTTGTTTATGCACAAAAGTAGGGTTCAAAATGGAGTTGGTCATATACTGGGGTTATCAACTAGACAGGTCATCAACTAGATAGTGGTATCCATGTTAATACTACACATACAGTCAAACTGGAATAAAGCAGCACTGTATTAAGCAGTCACCCTGTATTAAGTGGTCAATAGTTAAAGTCCCAAAATTCTTTCTCATTAAACACCTTAATTTTCACCTCTAAAACCCTTTACCTCCCATGAGTGACTAAGAGAATTTCTCCTTACAATATCTATATAATATCAAGCATATAGAAGTGATAAGAATGAAGTAAAATATGAATTAGGGCATTAGTAGTTGATCCAATATCAGATTTTC